CTGTCACGTCTAAATTTCTTAGAAAGAGGAGCCATACAGAGCATGGTATCCATTCTATCCGTTTCCTGATTTTTCATTTAGCCATGGGTAGAAATTTAGACCTGGGTGGGTCTCCTTCACTCCTGCAGCCTGGGATCTGCCAATGTGTCTCTCTAATGCCAATCCATCCAAGGAATGTACATGTATATGAGTGAGAAAAAAAAAAAAAGAATGCCTGGCAGATGCAGAGAGGATTAGGGGCAGGTGAAGCATCCATGGGCTTCCCCATCACACTCGGGGCTGGCCAGGTCAGGATGCAGAGGCTCCAGGGGCCCTTCTGGAATTTCCTGTATGCCTGTTGAATACCCAGCTCTAGTTTGTTCTCATTGCCTTTTTTTTTTTTTTTTTTTTTTTTTACAGCTTTGCTTTACCTTAAAAGAATTTTCTGCACAAATACAGTAAATCCTTGACTAGAGCAAAGTCCTCTGCAGTGTGAAGAAACCTGAGCTTCTGCCTCATGTTTAGGATGCATCTCAAATAGTATGCAGATCTCTGTGTCTGTGGGGGTCAGCAGCAGCTACCTGTGGGCCTTTCTCAGGATGGTGAGCAGCCTCACTCTCTTGCTGTTAGCGACAGGTCCATCCACCTGAAAGGTATCACTGACTCTACAAAGCTAACTCCATGTGTCACCTTGTTTGGAAACGGTAGGTTGGATTTTGCATTACTGTAGAATTTTTACTAAGCCAGTGCCTATTTTGCGTCACAATATTGTGTTAGGTTTATGGCAACGTGTAAAATTGATACGGTCTCTGCTTTTATGGAACTTTTTCAAGGAGGAAATATATAAAAAGTCAATAAAACAGCTGCAAACTGGGATACAGGCCATGAAGAAACCAAAGGAAGGAAGCAGAAAACAGCAGCCTCCCCCCATCCCCCAAGGCATCTGAGTTCAGAGTAGGAAGCTAAACAGGAAGGACTTGAGGCAGATCATTTCAAATGGTAGGACTAGCATGTGCAAAGGCCCTGAGGTAGGACTGCAGCTTAAGGTAGATGAACATAGGTTTAAGAGACCCAGAAGAAGAAGAAAAAGGGGAAAAAGAAGAAACAGGGGAGGACCCAGGCTCAAGAGCCACAGGTTGAAATTCCCTACAGGTCAGCCGACTCTAGACTGTCCTAGCTTAGGGCCTGCTGGGGCCTCAGGCGATTACGGCAACGGCTCAAAGTAATGGCCACTCTTTGGAAACAATAGTGATGTTCTCTGTAAGGCCCAGAGACAAAATCCACTGCAGGACTCGATGGCTAGGAGCGGGTAAGCTTAGCACCATCCGCTTTTCTCCCTGGAACATACAGAGGAAGGGAGCTGGGGAGACGGCTCATTCAGTAAGGTCTTGGCCACCCAAACCCGAGGTTCTGAGTTCGATCCCCAGAACACATGTGAAAAGGTAGGTTCATAATTGTGGCCACAGTGCTGGAGAGGTAGAGACAGGGGCGGCTTGGGGCTGGCTGGCCAGTCTAGCCTAACTGGTGAGCTCCTGGCGAGTGAGGCACGCTGTCTCAAAAGGAAGATGGTGCTTCAGAGGCGACTGTCCTCTTGCTTCCCCCACACACCCGAATACCTGCACACCCCATCACATAAAACATACAGACATACTCCAGTAAACTGGAGTCTGACCTGGACCGAATTCCTTCATTTCATTCACGCCTCTGTCAATGGCTGACCTACACCTTGTACAGAGTTTTGTTGGGCACTGGGATCAAGGAGACAGATGAAGCCCCCCGTGAAGCTCTCAGGAGCGTGTTTCCTCAAAAGTAGGGGAAGGAGAAAAGCTAAACTAAAGAACTCAGTCTTATGGTGGCGTCTCTGAGGAGTCCTCCCTTCTGAATGAGAGTGCTGAGATTTTACTTTCACACTGACTTTTTGTTCATTCTTTTCCGGTGGGTTCCATTCTAAGGCCACAGTGCTTTGGCCCTTCTTTTAGTCAGAATTACACACACACACACACACACACACACACACACACACACACACACTGTAGAGGGCTGCAGAAAGCCCACCCACACAGGCACATCCAAACACACACATACTTCTCTAATCTCCCCAGATCCTCCAAAGGCTGGGGGTGGGGGCCTCTTGTCTTTCCTGGTTAGCATTAGTGGGGAAGTCAGCCTGGAAATCCAGGAGTGCCTATCAGCCTTACCTCCTTCCAAGCCCCTCCTCTGGGCTGGTCCTGGGGTCCCCTCATCCCCACACCTGGCCTCCCCAGCTGCTGAGAGGTACATGGGTGTGTTGAGCAAACATCCTTGCTACTTCCTGCTGCTCCCCTCTGAGACAACAGAACCCCCCTCCCTGCTCCCCTTCTTCCTCTTCCCCACACCTCCCAGCTGGGGTTTCTCTGGAATCTTGAGTCAGTTCCCTGGAGAGACACCAGAGATAGCCCTTTCTCCTGGCCAGAGGAGAGAGATAAGACAGGAACAGACCCTCTCTCCTTCTGTTCTTCCATTCCAGTTATCTGGGTCCACAGGCTCTCTTGCTCACACAGGGCTGAAGGACCATAGGATACAACGCAAGGACAGTCCCTTACGAGCTGTGGGAAGGTAGGGAGGCTGGAGGAGGAGAAGCCCGCACCTCTTGGAGGAAGGACAGCTGTTCTCTTCTAAGGGAGCCCCTAGAGCTGCACAGACAGCATCACAATATTAGGAAGAAGGCCTCGGAGGCAATGCAAGCACCAGCTGCCTGCTAGCCTGCTAGCCTCTGAGGGTTCTGTTCCGGTCTCTAACAAGATCAAGTCTTCTCAGCTGTGGTCAGGAGGACCTGGCTTCCTTCGTTTGCTTTTAGTGCAATAGGGACATTTGGAGGCCCACAATGGGACTTTTAAGGACGGTGAAGACACAACTTTTCATCTTCCAGTTAGACATGTCCCTCCCATCCTCATCCCTGGAAACCCTCTCTCACCCCCGCACAGAATGAAGAGGGACTTGGGTGTCGCTGTGGAAGTTAGGCATGGAAATGGAAGGCCCAGAGAAGGAATGGGACTCACTCAAGGACACACCAATTCCTGATAAGTGCTCCTCACTGAGTCCTGCATTCAGGGCTTGGCAGAGGTCAGCTGTGGTCTCCTACTTGCCAGGCCTTAAGCTGCATTCTTTATTATGTTACCTTTCCCACCAAATCCTTACAATATTGCTACAGGAAAAGACGTTTTCCTATTTATGATAAGCAAATCAAGGGCCTGAAGAACTTAAGTCACTAGAACAGCCCCGGTAGCTAGTGGCAGGAGCAGAGCCAGACCCAGAATTTCCAGGTCCTAGCCAGGAGAGGAGCCTCTCCTCCTACAAACCCTTTTGCCTCGCATAGCTGACCCTGGTCCAGATGAGGGCCCCAGGGCCCCAGCTGTGCTTTCCCTCCTGGTGTCCCACTGCCTATCAGGGCTCCTTTCCTGCACTGGAGCATGGCCCAGAGGAGCAGCTGCAGAGCAGGGCAGGCTTCGGAGTTCATTGAGAAGAAAGCCCAGCTCGGTCTGCAGGGGGCCTGCACTGTACCTTTGGACTTCAAACTTCTTTCCCACCGACCAGAATCTTTTATCTGCTCCAAGAAGGCCGTGTGGACCCTGCAAAACTGTTGTTTTCCTCCTGGGAAACATCTAGAACCACCCTTCGTGGTCCAGCTCCGCCCCACCCCCACCTTATAGATCAAGAAACGGAGGCCTTCAGGAAAGAAAGCGAGGCACAGCCTGTGCTCACAAGGGAAACAGAGGCAGAATGAGGCCACAGGCCTCTGCTCCTGGAACAAAGCATCTCTCCTAGTTCCCTTGATCTGATGTAGAAGACTAAGATTTAAGCCTTCCTCAGACAGCAAGACCGGACACGCTGCTTGAGAAGGCCTTGGCACCCTATGACTCCCTGACTGACGGTGACACGAATCGAGCGGCCTGGGACATTCAAGTGAGGGGACACCTACGTCCTTCAAAGACTCGGCCCTTTCTTGTTAGCACAGGAGGTAGAGGCGAACAGGTGGAGAGCCGTGTGCTTGGCCCTTCTGGCCAGTGTGGGTAGAGGGGTGCACAAGGATGGTTCATTCCACGGCGGCGGTGGGTTCCCATAAGCTTCTCCAAACAGCTCACATTTCTTCAGGATGAGTCAGTCTCTGTCTGTCCGTCTCTTTCTGTCTCTGTCTCTCCCTATCTCTCTCACTGCCATGCCCTAGTGAATGAGAGAGGAAGGAAAGAGACAGCCACGTTTCCTTAGAAAAGGAGGGTAAAGGAGAGAGAAGGAAGGCAACCTCATAGCCCGCGGGCAGTCACCGAAGCCACGGGGATAGACAAAGTCAGCAGAGCCACCGACAGCTAAGGGACAGGAAGCACAGTGTCCAAGAGACACACCGAGAGGAAACAGATCTCCTGAGATGTCAGCCGGTGCTGCCCCGACCCGCCACCCTCAGCTCCCTTCCCGGTAGGTGCTGGGCCTGACTCCATGGGGAGGCCAGGGTCGTTAGTGTTCTGGGTCCGGCTCTGACCCCCTCAAAGCTTCGGGCCTGTGGCCTGGGAAAGCTCCACTGTGCGCCCCCAAGCGGGGATACGGCCTCAGAGCCACCGAGGCCCTAAAGAGGGCACGGGAAAGAGCCCCTTCACTTTGCTCCCAACGTGGTCCCAGAACCCTGGGGTGGGTGGACAGCGGATGGGAGACCGCAGCGAAGGGTGGCGCGCGCGGGGTGGGTGTGGGCTGGGGACTGGTGGCCCTTGAGCTCCTGTCCGAGGTTCGGATGGCCCCGACGCCTCCATGTCCCCTTCCCCTGGAAGCCAGGGGCCAACGTGTGCTCGGCGTGAGTGCCCAGGAGTGGCGTGGGGCGAACAGCTGCAGCCACGCTCCAGCTCCTGGTCTAAGCCCCACGCACGTGTCCATCCAGGAGACCCCGAGCCGAGCCCCCTCCTTGGCTCCCGCGGGTGTCGGCGTGGTTCCGGGCGCCCCTCGGAGACGGGTGCGAGTTGTGGGCAAAGGGGGACCCGAGACCCTGGGGTCCTTACCGCATTGTTGAGGAAATCCGACTCGTTCAGGTCTCCCAAGTCCAGGAAGCTGGATCCCGGGAACAGCCTGTCGGCCGGGAAGGGCTCCAAGACGGCGTCCATCGCGCCGGGTTCCGGGGACCCCACTGGGCTGCTCTTCGCCTCACTCCAGGGCGGCGGCGATCCCCGCACCGAGCTGCGGCTGGGCGCGGGCAGGCGGCCCGGGGGGCAGGTCCCGGCGAGCCCCGGGGGAGGAGCGGCGGGGGTGGCGCGGGTCGGGGGCGCCGAGGGGCCTCAGGGCAGCGGCGCCGAGCGCACCGTGGGCATTCAGCCGACTCCTCCTCCTCCTGCTCCTCCCGGGGCGCAGCTGGCTTCCATGGGGAGCCCGGGGGTGGGGCCGAGGCTGGAGGAGCCCCCCGGGCCGGGCGAGAACCGGGGGTGGGGGAGCTCAGGGCTCCCCCGAGGCTGGGCGGTTGCCGAGTCGCCCCGGACTCTCCGGGTCTCCTCCTCCGCGCGGCCTCTGTCACTTTCCCGGGTCTGAGGCTGGGAACCCCGAGCTGCTGAGCCCAGCTGGCCCGGCCGCCACGCCTCCGCATCAATATTCACGATAACTCAATATTAATGAGCAGAGGGCGTGGCCGGGGCATCGTCTCCTCTCTTTTAAAGAGACACGTTTTGGTTAGGCTTCCCTGGCAGGCTCAGCTCTCTGAAAGCTGAAATAATAAGGGGACGAAGGCAACACTGTTTGGAAAATGTAGGCTTCGTGAAACCTTTTCTAGCCCCGATTCTGTAAACGGACGACCAGGTTCTTCCCATTCTTTTTCTTTTTCTTTTTCTTTTTTGAAATAGAGTCTCTATGTAGCCCCAGCTGGCCTGGAACACAACGTGTAGACCAGGTTGGCCTCGAACTCACAGAGATACTCTTGTGTGTGCTCCACCATGCCAGATTTTTTTTTTTTTTTCTCCCTAGTTTGGTAGTAAACCCTGAACCAAACGAAAGCCAGGGAACTCTGTTTCAAGCTATAGTCACTGGGTCTGGAGCGATGACTCAAGAAGGTTAAGAGATCTTCCAGGGTAGGACTCAGAAAATACCTTGTCACAATGCGGGTTTTCACACACACCACACACCACACACACACAGACAAATGCACACGCACTCACACACTCCTTTCTCTTTTGGGGGGGCAGGGCAGGATCTCCTAGGCTAGGCTGGGATTATAGCCCTGGACCACCACACCCCGTTTTTTATTTTGTTTTGTTGTTACTATGGTTTTTGGCTTATTTATTTTTTGAGACTCTGTAGACCAGGCTGGCCTGAAACTCACGGAGATCTGCCTGCCTCTGCCTCCTGAGTGCTGACTAAAGGCGTGTGTCCCCACAGCCTGGCAACACACCCAGCTTCATGTAGCGCTGGAGCTGACATCTGGGGCCTTCTGCCTCTCTACCGAGAGCCACATCCCATTGCAGCTTCTTTATTTTTCATCATCATGCTCTCCATTTACATGTTGTCTTCCTCACACCTTCCCTGAAGCCCCAGAGGGGAGCAGTAACCATCCTTGAATACACGCAGGACACAGGCATGCCGGACTAGTCTTGTAACCCTTGTTTGCTGACTTGGCTGTGATCACACTGGACTCCAAAACCCTCAGAGCAAACACCAAAGCCAGCTCTCCCCCAGGTAGAGGGTCCACTCAGGCAGTAAGAGACCAGCGGAGCTGCCTTTTCTCATCAATCATTAAGCCTCTTGGACGTTGGAGAATGAGAGACTGGTGAGCCAAAGTGCTGTCCAGTCACCTGACACGCATGGGCCCCTTGGACTCATTACTTAAGTACCAGGCTGCTGTGACAACTTAATCTCTTAAAAGGGCCGATAAACAATCTCTCCGCACCAGAACAAGGGAAAGTGGCTCAGAAAGGCACTCCCTTGAGGGCTGGGTCCACTGTTCCTGCCCAGAATGATGCATGGGATTAAGTGTGTCCTCCTTGCTTGAGTGTTTAGCTCAGGATCTAAATGGCCTTTAAGAAGTGGAGATATCATCACAGCTCAGCTGCAGTGATTGCTGAAAATCATCACCTGAGACAAAAGCTGTTTGCCAGCCGAGTAAAGTAGCCAAGTGGCTTGTCCGTACTTCCATGTCCTATTCTTACAGAGGACATAGCTCTGGACCCTCTAGATTATCACATGACCATTGGCTCCAAGGTTTCCTATGGAGTTTGCTCCCGAGAAACTGGCATCAGAGCCCATGTTCTAGAGACCTGCTCACCAGCAATGGCACCCTGAAAAGTTAGGCTGAGCCCAAAAGAAATCAATTCTACCCATAGTGATGGATAGAAAAAAATGGGGTCATGGGCCAGTCGAGGGTTATTAACGGATAGAGACTGAGCCTTCTCAGGAAAAGGGCCATGGTCCATATCTGGGTGGATAAGAATGGCTCTTATGCATGAGCCTGTGGCAGCAGGTGTCTGGAGTCCGGGCTCCTGAGCCAGAATCCCTGTGGGCTCCCAGGAGGGGCAGAAGTGTCCCTCTGCCTGCAGTTGGCTGGAAATTGTGCCAGGGTCCCCCTCCCACCCTGTTCAAAGTGGCTCTGTAATTAGAGACATAGGTACCATTTAAGTGATTGGGGAAGATTATATATTTTAGATAAGTAGGATTAGAGTGCTCTGTCTCTCCTTATTCTTGTCCAGGTGAACACCCAAGGAAACCATTGAAAAGAATCCTGGGGAGGCTTTCTAGTTCTGGTACCTCCTATGGAATCTGAGGAGCAAAACCTCCCAAAAGAAATCCTGGAGGCAAAGTGGGAAGGGGAGAAAAAAGGGAAAACAGGCAAGCAGGGCCTGGACAAAGGATAATCATAACTTCCTGGAATAAGTGGGATGGCAGAATCCTGCCAAGATAAGGATTTCTGGCCACTTAGGCTCATATACTATAAGCGTTACTAAGGGCCTGCTACTAAAATCCCTAGCTCAGGTATTTGACATTGCAAGGAGCTACGAAGAAATAAAACAGTTCTGCATGACTGTATGGGTAAGGAAGGCCTCTTTGAGCAGCGCAAGCTGAAGACTGAATGATGACATTAGGCCATTCAGGGGCAAAATGGAGGGAAAAGTGTTCCAGGGATGGGAGTAGCAACAAAGAAAGAAAGGCTTGGTGGGGTGGGTCAGTGGGATGTGGTACAGGAATGATGAGTGTGGAGCCCAGTGGTGGACACAAACTTGTTCTCATCATCACACAGAAGAAGGGGCTCCAGTCTATGAAAATGCTGGTAAGGGTTACACAGGTTCTGACAAAAGTCCTCCCCATTCCCTCTCTCCCCATCCCCACTGCCACAGTCCAGTGGGGGCATGGCCAGAAACACATCTCTTTCATCCTGGGTGGACTCCAGGGCCTTGTGAGTGCCAGGGAAGCTCCCTACTCCTGAGCTCAGCTGGGCCTGGTGACATGTATAGCTGCTGTCCTGTAGCTGTGGCTCCAGCTGTGAAGCAAAAGCCTCCTGCATAAAGGCATCTCTACACAGTTGGTGACAGTGACGCACAGGAGGAAAAGGGCAAAGATAAGCCTCCTGTCTGTCCCGGTCACTGAAGGTCAGGTGGAGAGTGAGGCTCTCGCCAGGTTGCATTGTGGGATTTGTGTGTATGTGTGTTCATACAGAGTCTGGACTGTCACTACCCTTCACTGAGCCTCAGGTTCTACGTGTGTAAGATGGGGGGATGAAGCACTGATCCCTCCTAGGGTCTTTCTTTGACAAGTATCTTCCAAATGGGGAGTTGGGAACCCAGACAGCTAAGCCAAGCCTGGTCCTCAGCCAACCAGGTACTCAGGCTTTCTAGACTCCTACCAGGAGCTACCTAGAGGGTAGCAGGTGGGTGTTACTCATGGCTAGCCGAGCCCTGGGTGGTGGTGAGAAGGTCACCCAAAGTAAATACGCCTTGTTTGCCTGCATCGTAAAGGAAAAAGGTTTTGGCACCCTTGAGCAGGAACTTCTGGGGAACGAAAACATATCCATCCTGGAGATCAAGCTGACTTCCGGGGTGCAGATGGGGGCCCTTTGTTCTCTGTGGTTCTCTAGAATGGCTGCCTGGCTGTTCTTCCTCTGTCCCCCTTTTTTTGGGGCTTAACTTGGAGCTTTGGAGTGGCACCCTGCCAGGAAATGAGGGTGGCTTTTAACTCTGGCTGTCACTCATCCCTTCCCCACTCCCTTTGCTCGTGTCCTGTCCTCTCTTCACCACGGCCTATATACATTTCCCTGACATTTACTTTGTGCCTGGCAATAAGTATTTCAGCTGTGTTACTTGGTTCAGTTCTTGAGACAACCTTGTGAGCCAGGTTCTGGGGTTTCCTGAATCTGACTTACCTGCTTCTTCATACAGGTCAACGCCTCTAAGGTCAAGTGTGTCTTGTAACTGATGATGTCACAGTTTGGGGGACAGTAGGTTCCACTGCTAATGTATTAAAGGCGGTGGTGTTGCGTACCACTGACGGCACCTTAGATTCAGGGACGCGTGGTATCGTCACCATGCCTACTCTGTAGATGAGAAAAACAGGCTATAGGGAGTTTATTTTCCTCTTGTGTAAGTAACTGGGACCTAAGGCCATGACTGGCTTGCTCCAGCCTCAAGAGGCAGAGCTGGGACTGTTAATCCAGGGCCCTTTCCGCTCATCCCAGAAGAACTGCATTTGCTCACTGGGCAAAGGCAGCCGTTCAGAGGAGAGCCTTAGCATTTTGGGCAGCCAGTGAGTCACAGATTACTCTGCTTAGGGAATAGCCTTAAAGATACATTTTTGTCTCCCTCTTTAAATTCTCTGAAGACTGAAGTTCTTTGGGGACTAACAAGACATTTGCCTCCAGTCCAGTACCCTTTCTTGGTAACTGGTTTCATTCTTTTTCTCCTGGATTTCTGCTCCTACTGTCCCATCTTGGACTGGAGGCAAGCCCGCCCCCTTGGCCCTCTGTCTGCCTGCTGCCTGGGGAACAGCTCCACCCATTTCCTCTTTGGTCTCCAGCTCTGAGTTGGCCCTCCTCTGCACGGCCTGCAATCACCTGCACACACTGTCCTCCTAGAGGCTTGCATAGCCTAGACCACTCGACTCCATCTCTCAAAGACACACACTGGGGCCTCCTGATTCTTCCAGCCACCCTGCTTGCTCTCATAAGTCTAAATTGTGAAGAGAAAAATCAACATAGCTGCTTATTTCCTCCTGTCCCATAAGGGACACTCCCCTGAAATCTTGCCCCACCTAGGGCTGGCAGAGCAGTAACTGTGGGTCTAAGAGGAAGGGCAAGAGTATGGAAAGTTGGAGGCCTGCCTCTGTTTGTGAGCTCTAACACTGATCAGGCCTCAGTTTCCCCAAACTCTGGTGAGCCTGAAATGGCTTGTTACCCAGAAACTGAGAGACAAGTCTCAGGCTTTCAGGTCAAAGGCATTGCTAAAATCTTAGGCCGCTGAGACTCAGCTCAGCAGGGACTGTGAGCAGGGGAGGTGAAGCCAGCTCTTGCTACGGTCTCCCTGCAAAATCCATGTATCACACAGGATGACCCTGGTTTCCTCCTAGACTGAGACAATGCTAACTTGGTCT